GGATAGGAAGAAAAACAGGTGCTTGGGTTTCTCTAGGAGTATGGAATGGGGAAGATGTGCATTTTAATTCAACAGAAACCAGCTGGGAGAGATGCCAGCAAGGTGCAGCCACCAAGTAAGCAAGAGCTTCAGAATATATTAACAGAGATATGATGGCTAGAAAGAGGGAGGTGACCATTCCACCCATGTCTGTGCTGTCTGAACTATCTCTGACATGCTCATTAGCTCATCCATTCATTCATTCAAACATTTACTGAGTTCCTGCCAAGGCTCAGGGGCTGGAATGAAGTATCAAACAAGGTCAACCCGACTCCCATCCTCAAAGGCTTTACAGTCCATAGACAAAGACAGACAAGAAAGCAAAAAGCAATTTATACAGACTGATATAATGTAGTGGGGTGAATGCACAAGCCTGGAAGAGAACAGAGGAGAGGACCCCAGTCAAAGCTGGAGATCGGGAAAGACCCAGCGTTGCTGAATTCTGGCATGAAAGGAGTCAGGGGAAAATGCCGGTAGAGATATTCCAGAAAGAGGGCTGCCATGTGCAGAGGCCAAAGGCAAGAAAGCACACAACATTATCACACAGATCATCCAATAGAGCAGAGGGGGAAGGTTGCACAAAGAAGGGGAAAGGTAGTCCTAAAGGGTGGCATCCCTAAAGTGGAGCTTGTGTGTTTATTATGTCCCAAATGTCTAAATGAATTCTTAATCACACAGGGGATAGATATATGGACACAATCTCACCACAAAATAAAAGAATCAAGTTTCACAGGTAAAGTCCCCCCGAAGCTACCTCCACCTCTACCCTGACCATCTCTGGAAGTAATGCCTGTCTGCTGTGTCACCTTCCAGACTTATGTCCCTGCCTTCACACACTACACATGGGCCTATGGAAATACGCAGGTGCTTTAGTTTCACTTCTCATGCAAATGGCCTTGTGCTGGCCATGTTTACCTGACGTTTGCTCTTTCAGCAGGGCCACACCTGTTACTGTCCTCATCACACTCTGGAGGGGCCTGTGCATACCCTTGGCAGGCAGGGAAGCCCGTCCTGGGCAAACTCTGGGCATCTAGGAGGCAGCAGGGCAGCAGGAGGTGGGTGCCAGAGCTACTCTGGTTCTGCTGCCTCAGGCAAATCATTCCCTGAGTGGAGAATTGAGAGGCCGCTGGCCGGGATGCGAGGACAGCTGAGCTAAGGCTCTTCCACGTGGGCTTGGAACTTGCCGCAGGAAGGGTCTGAGAGTGACGGGGATGCCGATGTCACCAGACAAGGCTCATCCGTGTGTCCCCAATGACACTGCACATGGCTTCAGCCCCCGGCCTGCAGGCAAAACATTCAGGAAGGCAGCCCCCTTCCTTCCCTGCTCACTTGCTCCCCGTGGCCATGGTCAGGATGGGACCAGCAATCATCAGCCTGATCCTGCAACCTCTCCCCTGTGCCCCCAGCGGCAGCTCCACTAGCACGGCCAGCAGCAGACGCAATGCTGTTACTTGCTCAAGCAGTGAAAGTCCCCCTCAGCTGGCAGGTAAAGTCCTTTCCAGCCGCGGTCTGGGAAATAAACTCACCAGAAATTCTGTCTTGTTAAGGAATGAGAAGAACACTTATTTCTTGAGCATCCCCCCCTAGCATTCACTCATGCCCCAGCTCATGGAATTTTTGTGAATCCTCAAGAAACAGGCTCCGTGATGATCCCTTTGGATGCATCAGCTTGAAAGTCCCCGCAACAGTCTCACAGTGACCACGAGAGGAGGGTGATTACCACAGTCAGGCCGCACAGGCCATGTTGCGATGACCAACCACCCCAAATCCCAGGGCCTTTCCCAGGAAGTGTATGCTTCTCACTCATTAAGACCCACAGGGGTCACTGGTCTGGCTGTAGCATGTGGGATGGGTGGCCTGTGAGGTCACCAAATCAGGCAAGGACAGGACAATAAACACACACAAGGTCTTTACTGCCGCCGGCCAGAAGAGACAAGTGCCAGTCCGCTGCCCGGAACTGGCCATATGGCCCCAGTCTGCCTGCAAGGGACGCTGGGAAATGCAGACGGTCACATGGATCTCGGTGAGCCCTGGGTCTACCCCAACTCTGCCTTGGTAAAATGAGAGTGCACAGGCACAGAGATTATGTAATTTGCCCAAAGTCGCCCAGTCAGTAAGGATCAGAGCTGCTTACATACATGTGTGCTCACACCCCCACGTGTGTGACAGCACCCACAGGCGTGCACACCCATGTCCGCTTCTGGATCACCCAGAGCTCTGACAGGTGGTAAGAAACCTGGCCAGAGGTCAGGAGACAGGCTCCCTCCTCTATCCAATCCCCAGCACTGGGGCCTCACCTGCGACACAGGGATACCCAGGTACCCAGCCTGGGTAGAATCCTAGGTGTCACCTACCCTACCATGGCCCCGACCTTAGATCATTCCAGAAACCCTGGCCTGCACCTTCAAGAATAAGAGTGCTGGGCCTCCCCTGTGGCACAGCGGTTGAGCGCTGGGCTGTGAAGCTGCCCGCAGCCTCTGCAGCACCGGTTCGATCCCCGGCTGTTCCCCGGCCACCGGAGGAGGGTCCCACATGGCGCACAGACCTCTCCTGCCGCCCGCTGCTCCCCTCAGCAGTGTGCTTCGGTCCTTCTGCCTGCTCTGCGCCCCGCTCTGGCTCTGGTGAATTCTCTCACCCTCCCGCGCTTCTGACTGTACCCAGTGCTTGTATGTATGTATGTATGTATGTATCAATCAATCAATCAATGAATAAATAAATCTTAAAAAAAAAAAAAGAATAAGAGTGCTTCAGAATCTGCAGCTGATAATGAGATAGGTTTCTGGGACAAGCTTTTTCCAAAATATAAACATTATAGCAAATATACACAGTGAACATTCTCATGTCCAAATATTTACATACACCCACACAAACCAATTCACTTAAAGGACACAGATATGTGGAGGTGTGTTTGCATCTATAAATCTGAATTTATACATGGAACTGATGGTATAATCATGTTTGTTTATGTGACAAGAGTTCAAAATGGCTTATAAATAAATGGTGAACCATGCGTCAAAGGTGTCCAGATCACCAACAGCGAGGAGAGACTGAGAGATGGTCACAGATTTAAGGAAACTAAAGAGACATAATGGCTAAATGCAATGTGCGATCCTGAACTGGATTCTGGAACAAAAGAAGGACACCCAAGGGAAACCCAGAGAAATCCCAATGGAGTCTGTGGCGTGTTCCCAGTTCTGTGCCAATGTGAACTTCCCAGTTTCAGGGAGTGCACTGCGGTCATGGAAGGTGCTGGTGCTACAGGCAGCCAAGTGGAGGTATATGGAAACCCTCTGAGATATCTCTGTGACTCTCCTTAGAATTTTTTTTTTAATAGTGATAAAAAAAAAAAAACCCAGCAGATCAGCAGTTTCCACCTCCAGACCAGGCATGAGGAACATAATTTCCAAGTAGCCTCCTGAAGAGGCCACGACAAAAACACACACCTCCACAGTCCATGCACTTACCAGCCTACCCGCAAACTCACACACGGGGTCCAGGCCACCAAAGGAAATGAAGGAAAAGAGGAAGCGAGCAAGCCCCACCCCGGCTCCCAAAAAGGGGCAGGGGCACATACCCTTGCCGTCCACCTCCTGCTGGGACAACTCACCAAGCAGCTCGCATATTTCCAGGGACCGTGAACGTGCCTGCCCAGAGCTCCCAGCTGTCCCTGCTTCTGTACAATTTTCCTCAGCCAAGTTGCCCTCACCCCACTGACATGGGGGTACAACAGGGTCTCTCTGTGCAACAGCTCATACTCCAGGGCCTGCTAGGGGGCCCAGAGGAGGCTGGACTCCTGCTGAGACCACCTGCTGGCTTATTTCCTCCCCTGCCCTGACCTGCCGCCCCAGGCTTTTGCCCTGAGTGCTCCCGGGATAAAGCACGTAAGCCGAGTCCGGGCTCAGTCTCAGCTTTCATGAACCCAGACTAAGACAGAGGTGACAGTTCGGTGTTGGGCTGGTTAGGGAGGGCGGACCTCCAGCGTGGGATTCTTGACTTCCATCACTCCCTGCCTGCAGATGGGCGGCAACTGCTGGCAAGCGGAGAAGGGACAGTCCCCAGGTGCTGTGCGTGTGCAGTGACTGTCTCCACAGGCGGTGAGCCGGGACAGGGTGCAGGGGAACATGGATACCCTGGCTTGTGCAGTAACACTGGCATTTGTGAAACGTGGGCAAAACAGCAATGATAAGATGACAGAACTGGTGGCTGTTGCATTTTCTGAGAGAAAATGACAAGCTCAAAGTCATCAATGAGCAATTCAGCGTGAATGTGAATGCTAAAGGTCTTCTTGGCAGTGTTTAAAGAAACCCTCATGTCCCAGCTGGAGGGCCGACGGAGCCAAGGGCCCTGGGACCTGAACAGAAGAGCAGTGGAACTTCAAGGCCCATGGTTCCTCCACCAAGGGCAGGCCCTCCTGGGGAAGTGGTGGGACCCAGCAACACGGAATGAACTCTCTGGGTCTGCAGAATGGGGCCACATCACTTGTCAGGGGATGGTACCCCCACCCAACCCTGCTTATAGACCCCGCAGGAGCCTAGAATGAGCAGATGTTCTGGAAGACATGCTGGCCCTGCTCAAGATCTGCCCACAAGCCCTCCTGGCTGCCAGATCTATAACTAAGGTCAAATGGAACTGGGACCCAAGTAAGCCAGTGAGGGCAGCTAAGGAGGGAGAGGGACCAGCTGCCAAAGGAGCTGCAGGTCCTGGCGAACAGGCAGAGGCAGAAGCCAGGAACACATTCGGGAGCAGAGCGGGCAGACTGGAAGCTACATAATTTGTCAATCTGAGAGACTCTCTGGTGACACGGGCTTTACAGCTCTGGCAACGACCCCAAGAGCTGCTGGATGGTTCTTGGGAGGTGAGACAAAGTAATGGCTCTCATGAGAGGAAGATGCCAGAACTGTCATGGCTGACCGTGAGGCAGTCAAAAGGCTCAAAGATGGGAGGGGCTGGAGTGGACCTACCTGGAAGACCAAACCCTCGGGTTGACTCCATTCCTTGGACAGGCTCCAGGGAGTCCATTTATCCAGGCTAAAGAATGAGCTGGCGCAGGAGGCACAGGGTCACGGGGAAGATGGTGGAGACTGTCCTCACAGCCCAGCGGTGGTTGGAGGGGCTGTTACAGATCTGGGCTCTGGGAGGGGAAGGTAAGATTCTTCAGCAGGAGGCTGGTGCTGGACTGGCAGAAGCAGAGTGGACACGACTGCCACAGTGGGCAGCAAGATCCCAGAGACGGCCAGCAGGACCCAGCGAGGCTTGGGTCTGGATCAATGGGTAGCCAACAGGGAGCTTCCTGACTCTAGAAAAATAAAAAAAAAAAAAGTAGTTATGAAAGCAAGAATGGAGGATAGGAGGGTGAGGCGACTCACCCACGGGGAAACCATCATCCTATGCCCAATTTCCAGACTCAAAACCTCAAGGCAAGGCTGGTTCCCAGGAGGGAAGACCCTGCACACCACAGCAAGTTTCCAGCACCGCCCCCCAGACCCGCCCCCAAAGGGGCCTCCAGCCATTTACTCGGGTAACTGTAACCTGCCTGGGGAGAAGGGGAGTACTCAGGGCCAGTGGGTTCGGGGCCCAAGGTGACGTCTGTCTCCAGGAGCCCACCACTCTCCCCACTGAAGCCCGGGTAGGTCATAAACGGAATCGTTACCAGGTCATTTTGTTGTGGGTCCCCGGGTTCGCAGGCCACTCAAGAGTCACCTGACCAGTTCTCACATGTATGCTCAGAATGCACAGATTTAGCAGTTGGTAGAAAGCTCAGCTTGGCCCCTGCTGCAGGTGAGACTGGACAAAATGGACAGGATGACCTGGCCAGTCTCCAGACTCAGCGCCCTGAACTTGTACTCAGGTTCATGCACAGAATCACCACAGTGGCAGGGAGGGAGTCCGACATGGGCCCAGATCCAGCTACAGCAACTGCTGAATGTCAGACCTGCTGGTGACAGGGACCCACCCTGAACATCGACAGAGCACCAGCCTCTGATGTGGCTGCTGATTGCATCCCGCAGTCCTGGCGGGGCTGAGCTGGATCCCGGATGAGACTTTTACCTCCTGCCCCTGGGACTGCAACCAGCACCTCTCTCTAAAGCCTCGGAAAGCACCTAGATCTGTCATCAGGAGATGGTCAGTAACAGCCTCTGACCAAGGGACATGCTTTACAGCCAAGGAGATGCTCCAGGGACCCTTAACCAGGGGACCCACTGGCCGCGCCACATGGACCTTCCAGAAGCTGTGCCCCACAGAGCAGTGAGACAGCCAACAAGGTGTTGTGAAGAATGGGGCAGAGCTCTGTGTCCCTAGGATGGAGAGGTGGGCCCAGCTGAGCTGCCATCTTGCACAGGGTGGGACACTGTCCTGCAGGATGCCAGTTGCACCTTAAACCGACAGCAGTTATTTAGTGCAACATCCCCAACAGGTAGAATGCCTGGTTCTGGGAGCTGCAGGACAGGGGGCTGGCTCACCCTCCCTCGGGCAGCCCCTGGCCTCTGTCCCCACCCCTGAGGTTCCCAGTGCGCTAGGGATCTGGCGCTGGTCTCTATTTTCCACCGACTAAATGGGAGTGAACCATCCTCCCAGGGGAATTGAGACAATGTCAAGTTCACAGCAAAGGCAACTGCTCTCGGCATATCTTTGGAGTCACCATTTTGGAAACAGGATCAGGGGGTCAAGGTAGGGGGCAGGTGTTCCAAGTAGAAGTGTTTCTGGCATCTTCGTCACGGGACGATGAGAGAGAGCATCTGTCTGTCCCCCTGGATTTCCTCATGCTTTAGATGAAGACTGTTTTAAGGAAAAGAAGACCTAATTTTTTTCCTCAAAAGCCCTCAGTTGGGCTGAAGAATATTTTTAGGTTTCCCCTTCCCCAGGTATTTTCTCCCTGCCTTGCCAGCCACCTCTGAGAAACGAGGGGACCCAAAGTCACATCCCCTTCCCCAACCTAGGAAGTGCTTCCTTCCAAGCCCCCATTTTATGATCAGCAAAAGATTTCACCAGCACTGCCAAGAACTGATATTCAGAAATAAGTATGTAAATCCTTTGTAAATGTATGCTAATTACTTATTTTTAATTATAATGTAAATAAGTAATTACTGAATAATTTTAAAGTATTTACATGGGGGTGTGTGATTTAGACACTAACTTGTTATAAGATATAAAAACTATAAATTATACAGTAATTATGGCCCAATTTACATGCTAAGGCCAAACACAATTACATAGCAAGAAAAATATAAACAATCAGGTATTTCTGCCGTAGTTACTATGTAATAACCAAGCTGTTTCTTTCCCCACCAGTTGACAAAGTGGGTCTGCGCGTTCACTGCAGGCCTGGGGAGGCTGAGGATAGGGTGCATTTAGGAAGGTGAAATCACCATCAAGGGGGGAAAGAAATCACAAAATAAGAAAAAAAGGCACAATCAAAAGCTATTGAGATTTGGGCCTCCCTGGTGGCGCAGGCGGTTGAGCGCCGCACCGTGAAGCTGTCCACAGCCTCTGCCGCGTGGGTTCGATCCCGGCCGGCCGGCAAGGGTCCCACATGGCAAGCAGACCTCTCCTGACTTGCCCGCTGCTCCCCTCAGCAGTGTGTTTCTCAGTCTGCCTGTTCTGCCCCCCACTCTGTCTCTGGTGAATCCTCTCACCCTTCCGCGCATCTGGCCTGTACCCTGGTTCTTGCATAAATAAAATAAATCTTTTTTAAAAAAAAAAGCTATTGAGATTTGCCTGGGTGGGTCATGGGGGGGTCAGAGAAAAGCCAAGCCGTAGCCTTAGGATGTACGACCCTGTTAGAGTAGCCCCTGCTGCCCCACCTCACATTACACCTCAGGCAAAGGTGGGGTCTTTAACAAATCTTCACACTGCTGTGCCCTCAGCCTTAATTCTCTTCCACTTTCTTGCCTAGCTCACCCCACCTCAACTTTCAAGTCTCATCTGCAATGCCTCTTCCTTCAAGAAGCTTTCCCTGAGCACCACCATCCACTTCCCACATACACCGCCTCCCACTCACAAGTACCCACTATTCTGAAATGTCCTGTTTGATGGCAAAGCCCGCCTCCCCTACCAGATGGGGGTCAGAGGTCAGAGCCCAGGCCTGCCTTGTCCACTGCTAAGTCCCTATTTCAGAGCACCTGGCCTTGAGAAGGTGAAGGCCTGTGTCAGACAGATCTGAGTTAAAACTTAGTGGAGCGGGTCTCCAGAATCCTCCTAGAATTATCTCAGACACCTGGGCCTCCTCAGGGACAGAGTCATATGTCTGACAAGAGTCCCAGGTTTGCGGTTCTCACACTGCCCACGGCTGAAACGTATGACAGGAAAGGGGACATTATTCTCCCCACTTTGCAGACAAGGCAACTGAGACTCAGAAAGGTCAAGTACTGACGCTGTGGAGTGGAGCCCCTCCAGAACCCACCTGGAGCCCCTAAGCTCTCTCTCTCCTCCCCTCCCCTCTCAGGGGAGTCATCAGGCCCCAGAAGAGGATGGAGGGGTCCCACAGACTCCAGCTCAAGGAGAGTGATCTGTGAAGGTGTCAGTGCCCCAGAGCAGAGCCAACAGAAGGGGGTGTCCCCCACACCTCCCACAGATCTACCAGCTGGAGAGCCTCTAGATCATGGTTTCTTAAGTTTCGTCTGAGTCCCCACACCCATGCACAATGCCCTCTGAAGTCTGAGAGCCACCCTGAGGGAGAAGGGCACGCTGGACCTGAGCCCTGGTAGACACTGTCCCCTCGCCCAGCACTGCCCGCTGGTTATGTAAGGAAACAAGCCCATGGGTTGTGACACACCTGCAGAGCTAGCTGAGCAACAGAAGTGCCCATGGAGCAGCCATCCCCTCTGTTCCATACTTCCGGAGTGCTAGGTCAGTCTTCCTGCTGCCCGCTGCCCCGAAGGCAAGCAAGATGGGCACGGCCTGTGCCCTAGCAGCCCAGAGTACGAGGCTGTCCATGGGGCATACCCACCCTGCCCATCAGGCCCAGTCACCATAGTCGTGAACGCAGTGTCCTCAGCACTGGGAGGTCCTCTGAAAGCACCTGGCCGCCACCCCAGCCCAGCTGCCCTCACAACACTGCTGCTCCCACAACTGCCAAGCAATTCAGGGTCAGGGAGCTGGAGGAACCCATTACAGATTTGGGGCTGACTTCTTTTGCCTCTGTGACATTACTGTTCATTAAGCACAATCATTAGCGAGGGTTTAGGGGACCAAGTGGTACCCTGTCGATGGTGCGCCCAGCTGACCAGGCCCAGGCCATCCATTCTAGAGAAGAGGAAGTGATCTCAGCCATTCCCCTGCCTCTGATCCAGTGCCTGAGCACTAAAAAAGGCATGCAGGAAGGTTCTTCTTCTCTAATGTCCATCACCACAACCCCAGCTACCATTTACAAGCACATGAGACCAGAAGCTAGGGGAGGGCCTGTGCTCAACAATGCTCACAAGGAAGCAGGCACAGAGCGGGTCAGTGATTGGTAAAGGTCACACAGCCCAAGCACATGAACCCAAACCCAGTCTCTCGGCTCTGGGGTCTCGCTTATAGCCACCCACTTCATGTCTTCCACACCCCAACTGCAAAAGGATTTCACAGCAGCAGCCAACTCAGACTGACACGGCAAAGTCTGCACCCAGCATGGGCAGCCTTGGCACCAGCAAGATCATGGAGATCAAATTTTCCATCATTCCAGCACGACGACCCCTCACACAGCTACTTCACAGCCCGGGAAATCCCCCCATCCCTTGGGTAATATTTTTTTTTACGGCCATTCCCGGGTGCTATTCATTTTATTACACTTTTGCCTGTTATTTTTGTTGTTGGCGCATAAGCAATGTGGTCAATTCCATTTTACGTGCCCCGGCATTTCAGATTCATCGCCAGCCAGCGTGGCGCTGAGTGGTTACACGGTAAAGTGTTTGGCTAATAAAATGCATAAAGCAGAGATAGGAAAATCAATGCCTTTGTTAATAACACTTCGCCATCTTTCACGCGGTCTGCCAGGCAGGCTGCCCGCGAGAGCTGGCGCCGAGGCACCACTCGCCGTGTCTGCCACTGGGGCCCGGCGCCAGCTGGCCCCTGGAACGTGCGCCCTTTGCCCCCTGCACTCCTGGCCCAGGAGCCAGTTAGGGAACCTGGCAGATGCTAATCAGGGCGCCAATCCCCTCCCAGTGCCTGAGCGGGAGACAAGGTGGGAGAGGGGGGACACTCTGCATTCTCAAGCAAGTCACTGCACCCCTCCGGCCCTCAGTTTCCTCATCCATGAAAACAGGAATAGTAAGAGCGCCTCCTTCCAGTGACCTTCACGAAGATGGAGGGACAAGTCCGGGGCCCACGGGGCACAGCTCATGGCACGTGACTGAACACAGCTGTGCCACCCTGGTCACTCAGGGGTGCCCCTCCACCCCCAGTCCCTAGGGTGAGAATGATCTGGACTGAGCCCTAAAATGAGATGGGGTCCAAGACAAAGGCTCTACTCTGCTCAGACCGAGAATGTGACCCTCCTTGTCCTCTTTTCCCTGACCTCGATCATTCAGCTTCCTTCCGCGGGTGCACACCCACCCCCGCTCACAGGCTAGGCTGGCCAGGCGAGTGACAGAGCCCAGCCCAAGGGCAGGGTACCCACCATGGTCACTAAGCCACGCTGGCAGGAAAAAGGAAGGCCGTGAAGAATCTGCCCCCCTTCTCAGCCCCTCTAGCGCCCAGCCCTGGGCCCTGGAAAGGGACTTTGGCTCTGTGTTTACACACGACCAAAATGGGGGTAATAATATTGGCCTTCCTCCTGGGTTGCACTGAGGACTGAATGAGATCACCTATGTAAAGCCACAGGCCTTGCCTCTGGTCCCTGGAGGCCCAGGGGACAGACACACACAGCCCTGGGAGGAGGGAGGGTCCAGAGGCAGGGGGAGGAGGCTTCTCAGCAGTGGGCTCAGCTGTACGGCATGGAAGGGAGAGGGAAGAACCAACCAGTTTCTGCTCAGTCGCTGGGTACACGCTAGCAATAACAGAAGACCCTCGTTCCCAAGCCTCGGTTTCCCTCTCTGTAAAATGGGCGCCTCCCCCAGGCTGCTGTGGAGTCAGGGTGGATTAAATAAAAGACTTCATGAATCTCTCAAGACCTGAATGCTGCAAAAGGAGCTGAGCTGCCATCTGGGAGGGGAAGGCGCTTTGGGAGGAGCCAGGATTCTGTGGGGGAGCAACTTTCTAGGCCTGGGCCATCCCTCTCTCTCCCCAGCACCCCCCCAGGTTAGCCTCTCCCTCCAGCACCCCTCCTCCCCTGCCCGCCTCCCTCACCAGGGAGGGAGCACAAACACAGAGCTTAATCCCCAGCGCCTCCCAGCACACCCAGGCCTGACGCACGGCTCGGCAAATATTGGACTTTATTAATTTAATTTAATTAAACTTTATTAACCTTTATTAAAAATAAACCCTCATTAAAATTCTCATTCCCGTCTTCCTGCAAAGTGGGGGGCGGGGCACTGCCTCCTCTCCAGGCTGGTTAAATATCACTGGAAGAGAGGCGGCGGCCTCCAGGGCTGGAGTTTGGGACACAGAGTGTTGACAGGAGATGGAGAAGCTGCAAGGGTGTGTGTGTGTGTGTGTGTGTGTGTGTGGACAGGAGATGCAGAGGCTGCAAGGGCGGAGGTCTGTGTGTGTGTGTGTGTGTGTGTTGGGGGGGGTGCAAGCTGCAACCCAGGACCTGGGCAGCCAACATGGAACATCAACCCAACCCCCAGGAAGGCGGGCCACGGGGGAAGAAGGGAGTTCAGTCCAAGGGCCTGGGGAAAGGGAGCCAAGGAGGGCAGATTCGGGCAGGCGGAGGGAGCCAGGCGGCTCACGGAACAGCAGCCATTCCCGGAGCAGATCTGGGAGGAAGGGAACATCTGTGCCGTTTCTCTTCAGAGTCCTGTGGCGCAAGGGGTTAAGACACAACCTATGAAGCTGTCCGCAGCCTCTGCAGCAGGAGTTCGATCCCCAGCCGGCCAGGGAGCAACGCACATGGCGCAGCAGACCTCTCCTGTCTCCCCGCTGCTCCCCTCAGCAGTGTGTTTCAGTGAATCTGGCTGTTCTGCTCCCCACTCTGTCTCTGGTGAATCCGCCCACCCCCCGCACCTCTGGCCTGCGCCCAGCACTTGTATGCACACATAACCCAATCTTTAAAAAAGAAAAAAGATCTCGTTAAACAAGGGAGGATACGGACCTGCCAGGGGGACGCGACGCCATGGAGTCCACTGGAGGCCGGGCTCAGGGGTGCTCCGTCCCGGAGCGGGGTGCGGCGGGTCGGGGCGCTCTGACAGGGGCTGGCTCTGGGCCGGGCCCGCATGCCAGGCGGGGCAGCCCCTCCAGCGCGCGCCGAGAGGCCCCGGCCCCGGCCGCCTCCGGGCGCCTCTCCACCGCCTCGGCCCGGGCTCCCTCGGCGCCGCGAGGCCAGCGCGGAGGTGGCGGCCCCGCTGCCTGTCTCTCTGGGCCGCCAGGGCGCCACCCCCGCTGCGCACCCCGAGCGTCACAGTCTCCCCGCCATCGCGGGCTCCTCGCGCTGCCCCAGGCGCCCCCTCACCGGCCCCGCGGCCCCGCGGCTCACGTGCCACCGCGCGGGCTGGCGCCCGACGCCCCGCCCAGGGCGCGTTCCAGGCGGACTCGGATTGGCCCAGGCAGGATTGACGCTGCCAGTGACCAATCAGCTAGGGCTGGGGGCGGGCCACACAGAGCACTTCCGGCGCAGCGCCTGTGACCAGATAGTGGCCGTGTCCTGATTGTGGCCTGAGGGGTGGCTTCCTTGTCCGAAGCGGGGCGATCTCTGTCCCTGAAGGGGTGCAGGCGTGTGGGATGCCCTGCGTGGCTAGTGCGGTGCCTCAGGATGGGGGACACCTTCCCGCTTCTTCCCTCTGGGTCCCTGGGGCCTACGAGCTGGCCGTGGCTGGGGGGGAGCCATTTTCTCGCTGGCCCGTGGCTCCTGGAGCAACGTCAGCCACGGCGAGGTTCCCAAGAGCAGCGTGGAGAGGCCCCGCGGCAGCTGCACCCCCCGAGCATCGCCCAGCCCGCACGCATGCGGGGCCCGCTTGCCAGAGGCCCTGTCATGCGTGTGTGGCCAAGGGCAGACATCCAGGCCACACGAGCGTGCACCCTGGGGAGCGCCGGCTCCCTGGCACCCTTCTCTGGAGGGGCCTGTGCTCTCCTGCAGGCTCCTCCAACTCCACAGGAACAGATGGCGTATGGGCTTCAAGCTCCTCTGCTATCCGGCCTCTGTTTCCTCATCTGCCCCTGGCAATACCAGCCCCCAGAGGTCAGCATGGGGGCCATGCCCCTCTTTCCTGGTCCCCTTTCCTGGCAAGCCAGGCCACTGTGATGGAGGCTCTGTGCCAGGCAGAGAGCAGGAGGTCACAGTGGCTCCCTGCCTGGAGCCCTCAGAAGAACCAAGCTTTCAGCCAGCGGTCAGGGCTCCAGACTCTTCCCCAAAACCCTGGCTGCGATATAAAATAGGTCATTGGTGTAATCCTGGCCAAATTGGCCTCTCGCAGATCAGCTAGGCCGCGCTCCCCAGGTCTAATTATCCCATATTTGGTCAATAAACCATTAACACAGCGCCACGGATGTTAATAACCGTTTCATGAAAAAGTCGGTGTAATTTATGAGATCAACACTGGTTAGCAAAATTAATAAATATTTCATTCGGCAAGATTTATCCCAGAGAGCTCCCGACAGGTGGACCGAGGGCCCTGGGGCAGCCCCAGGGAGCCAGCAGTTGGGGGAGAGAAAGCCCCGCTCTCACTTGGGCCAATAAACATTTACCTCAAATCCTATCGCCATAAATCCGCAGGCTGGATGAGGGAGTCCAGTAAAACCTGACTTAACATTATGTTCTGGCCATTAACAATATTTATATAGATGTCACTTCAGGGAGGGTTAGAGTCACCAGGCAGGGCCCAGACACCGTGACAGGAGCCAAGTCAGGCTCCTCTGGGAAGGTTGGTGCCCAGAGAGGCCAAGGGCAACAGAAAGAGCCTCAGATTGATTCTCAGACTTCTCCATGGTTGGCAATTGTGGCTATGTCACCTGGGGCAAGTTTCTCAATCTTTCAAGCCTGTTTCCTCATCTGTAAAATGGGAGTGTTGCCACAGCCACCTCGTGGGCTGCTGAGGGCATTAAGTCATATAACAGAGCCATACCTGGCACAGAGTAAGCGCCTACCCAGTGGCCACTGCTGTGACAGGCATTGCCAGCAGAGGCAGCCAGAGGCCTCAGCCCACTGCTCCAATAGAGAGCAGCCCTGCTGGGTGTACTCAGTCTTCAAACCAAGAATCTAGAATCTATTAGAGGCTACACACACATTGTCTCTAACCCTACAATGATCCTATAGGGTGAGCACCCTATAGGGGAAACTGAGGCTCAAAAAGGCAAAGTGATTTCCCCAGGAGCAACCAGCAGGAAATGTGGGAGCTAGATGCAAACCCCAGTCGGTAGCAGCAGGTCTGCCCTTCATGCCACTCTGCACCCCACCCTGGGAGAGCTCTGGTCCCCACCAGCTCAGGAAACAGCACACCTGCTCCTCTCTGCCCTCCCATCAGCCAACCCTGAGCCCTGGGCAAACAGTCCCTGCCCAAACAGATGCCAGGTCCTGTTGTGGCTAAAGAACTTTCTAAAAGAACCAATTTCTTTTCCATGGGGAACTTTCCACCAGGCATTGATTTTCACTCTCCCTGCCTAGGGTGGATTTGATTTGCGAGGAGAAGTTCTTTCAGGAGGCAGAAGCAATTGTGTGAAATGAAAGCGCTGAATGTGACAGGCTCATCTGCTGCTGAGACCAGAGCAGGGCTGAGGAGTGGGTGGGGGTATGCGGGTGGGAGGCTCCTCTGCGACCTTGACACAGAACCCTCCTTGGCACAGAACCCTCCTTGGACGCCTGGTCTGGAGGCACCAACAATTAGGCAAAGGTCAGCTCCACTCCGGCTCCCCCTGGAGGCGGGTGGGCTGGGAGGGGGTCCCCCTCTCTGCAAGGCTTTACAAGCTACCCCTCAAAATGAGACCCAGAGCGAGGAGGTGGCATGTGGGTAAGGCTGGATCTTTCCATCTTGATTCCCACTCAGTTTTCTTCATTTTACTCTGCTCTTATCTCACATGATTATTTTAACAAACCCAGGAAGCTGGAAAACAGACCCTGGTTCATAGGGAATGTTCAGTAAATATTGGTGAAGGCATCATTATTCCCATTTTACAAAGAAACTGAGGCTTACAAGGGCTGGGTAACTGGCATTGGAGGGGGTGAGCAGCTGGTGGGAGCTGGCTGAGGTTTTAAAAGGTGAGTGTTGAGTGAAGAGGAAGGGGATGCGGTTGCCCCCAGGGAGGTGCAATTAGGAGGGTTTTGTCATCATCCTGGTGAGGAGCCGTGGCTGGACCCAGAGTGGAACCAAGAGGCTGGTGGGCAGCCAGCCTCTTGTGACGTCCCGTTCCCCGGTGGCTTGGCCTGAACCACTGTGGGCCCAGCACCTACTGTGCACTGAGCACCTACTGTGCACTGAGACAGAATACCCCCCCAAGGGCTGCTGCCCTCATGGCAGCTACAGGCTAGTGTTACGCCAGACTGGAAACAAGTAAACAGGAATAAAACATGAGGGACTGAGAAGTGGCCAGAAGGACAGAGGGTCCCTGGGGGATCTGCCTGGCAGGTGGGGGCAGCATCTTCAGGAGCTGACAGGGCCGCAGAAGGAAGAGAGGACAACCTCAAGGCCGCAGCACTCGGGGCAGGGGGATGAGAGGGAGCAGGCCCCAAGGGAGGAGCCTCCGGCTGCTTCCAGAAGGTCAGGGATCTGGGTGGCTAGGCTGAGTGGGCCAGGGAAGCGGAGGGAGCTAATGGGGAGGGAGGGTGGATGCAGGGCTCTGAAAACACACTTGGGGCCTCTGGGTGTGGAATTCCAGTGACCAGGGGGTAGGAGCAGCTCCTGACTCCCCAGCACCCACAGAATGAGTATGGGCCCCGTCTGAGGATCTCGGGGCACCTTAGTGAAGAGAACAGCCCTCCCTGAGCTGCGTTCTAGCAGGGGGACAAATGCAAACGTGAGCGCTGAGTAAAATGTGGGCTGTGGTAGACACTGTGGGGGTACCGGGGGGAAAAGGAAAACAGGGTGAGGGGGTGGGGCCAAGTCACAAGATTAAATAGTGTCAGGTGGGTCTCACTCAAAGGTGAGATTCCAGAAGACACACGAAGGTGGAGAGCGAGGGAGCCACACCTGAGGAAGATTGTTCTAGGCAGAGGAAGGGGCTGTGCCAAGGCCCTGAGGCCACTGGGATTCGAAGAACTGGCTGCCGAAGACCGGACCCGAGAGGCGGGCAGCAGAGCATCTTGGACTTTGGGCCCAGAGAGAGACGTGACAAACCCAGGGAGGCAGAGAGGAGTCTGTGAAGTAACGCACAGCAGACATTAGCCAGGCCAGCGCATCCTAAGTGCTCAATTAATAGGAGTTCGGATTGTTGCTTGTTATTGCTGCTCATTTTATGACTCCTAACCATTTCGGGGAGGTTGGAGGATGACTTCGGGCCTCACCTTGTGGTGAGATTTGAGTGACCCAAGCTGTCTCCGACCAGCTGGGGGGCGGCTCCCTCTCTGCTCAGAGAATTTTCCAGGCCCTCAGGAAGTTTGGGGAGTAATGGGGTGGGGCCGCCATCACAGTGGCATTAAATCAGACCCCCCGCCCTCGGCTCCGGAAGAAATAGCACCAAGAAGTTGTTAATACCTTTATTATGGGCTGAAATGTATTCACGATATTAAAAGACATCCCATTTCTGCCCCCCGTGTCACATCTGAGATGTAGCGGAGATAAATGATATATCACCGCACGAGATCTACCGAAACCATTAGTAACCATGACATTTTGACGTCAGATTTTTAAAAATTCCTAAGTAATCTTTTTGATTTATGAAATGCTGTCTGGGTTCATCGAGAGAGATCTCAGATTTATCACCGCCTGGTTAGAATTATTAATGATTTTCAATTTGTAAATCTGAAGTCGAGAAAAGTCTGTGGGTAAAAACTCCTGCTGACGAAGGCCCAGCCTCTCCTCCAGCCAGAGTTCAGCTCACAGAGAGTCCATCTCTCCAACATTCCCTGCACTGGACATTGTCTCCCAGCAAAGCTTGTCCAGCTGCAGCATGCAAGACTGTGGCGGGATCAGCTACAGGACCAGCTCTGGGCAGCAGCATCAGTCCCACTTCTGAGGAGCACCGCCATCAGCCCAGGCCTGGACTGTTGCTCCAGCCAGTCAAGAGGGACAGAGCCCAGGGCAGCTCACCAT